GTTTTTTCAGTCTCCTTCTCCTGTTTTTATAGGTGAAAATAGGGGAGAGAAACATAGTTGGGGCGGCCACTGTGCTGCCACCTCTTCAACACGTGGAAAGGGTGGCAAGTCGATGTCTTTTTAAGGTCATCGGGGGAAAGGAAGTTGGGTGAGAAATGGAGGAGAAAAACAACATTTTCTTTCCCTGTTCTCTGCATATCCAAGGGAAGAAGATGATTGTGCCGTTGAAAACGACACTGATTTGAGGTTTTTTTTTAAATAGTGCATGAAACGACGCCGTTTTGAACAAAACACGTCGTTTTATTTAAATGAAAAGGTGTCAAAAACATGTGAATTTTCATATTGGTTCTCGATTTATAATTTGTTCAATCAAGCCCTAAATTGCAATTTTGTTTAAAAATCAATGCAATTGCATCCTTGCCAAAAATTCAACAACAGCCCAATAGTTGACTGCCTTTTCACTTTGGTCATTGATCTTGATATTATGCAATTTGACCCTCAATTGAGCAATAAACTTCTAATTTCTTCAACTAGGCCCCTGATCGGTTTTAATTTCAGCCCCTCTACTTATGCATCTTTTTCATTTTGATCCTTGGTTTTGGATCTCTTCAATTAAGTCCCTAATTGGCCATTAAACTTTAATATTTATGAAATTAAGCTCCTGATTTGATCAAATTAACTTTCAAAAATTATAATTTGACCCTAGAACTTGAATTTCTTCCAATTAAAGCCTAAATTGATTCCAAAATCAATTTTTCTTGTAATCAAACTCTCTATAAATTTAATTAAATCTTCAATAAATTTAATTGAGTCTATAGACATATGATTTTGGCCTTTTCTTGTTCAAAATTAAATTTTCTTTGTCAACAGGGCTGTTATCAGTTAACAAAATACTGTCAAATTTTAATTTTTGTATTTTTAATCTCTTCAACCAATTTTTAATCATTTTTAGGCGCGCTAAGAAATTTTTCACTGTTTATATTTTTTGAATATATATATATGTTTAAAAGTGTGGGGTCCAAAAATAGATTATGACAATATTCATCATGATCTTCTAGATACGAGCTAGGATGGATTTATTAAGACCTATAATTGAGTTTGATATTCTAACTAGAGAGTTTCAAACTATCAAAGAATCATCTTAATCCAATAGGTTAAGCTGTTTGGTGAGGTTCTAAGATATAATTTATATTATTTTCTAACACACCTCCCCTTAAGTGAAAGTTCTTTGAGCTTGAAATTTGCACAGATGCACATTACCTTGTGTTTAATTTTTATCAAATAAATGGAGATAGTGAGATTCGAACTCGTGACTACTTGGTCATCAAAACTCTGATATCATGTCAAAGAATCATCTCAACCTAATAATCTAAACTGTTTGGTGAGATCCTAAAATATAATTTATATTATTATTTAAACTGTTTGGTGAGGTCCTAAAATATAATTTATATTATTTTCTAACACAAACATTATATAAAAAAAAGCTTCATAGTTTGAAATCACAACCAAGAATGAAGAGTTAATAAATTGGATCGACATACATGTGCGTATATGCTGGAATATGAGGATGAACGAGTGGAAACACCTTGACCTCTTGTAGCTAGAAATCAATGTGCTGTTGTGATGCTTCTTCTTCTTTCCTGACATATATTATAATAAATTCGCCAGCTGCTATCGGTCTTACTCTTCCATTCAATTTCTTTAAAAAATTCTCTCATCTTTTAAACACCAATAATAAGTTTATTCATTTGTTTGTTTGTTTGTTTAAACCACCACAACCTCCTTGCTTACTCTTATCCTACTTCATCGCCATCACCTCAAATAACCCATGAAATCAAGCCCCAAAAACCAACATATATATATATATATATATATATATTGTGGAGTGTGTTTATTTTTTTATTTCTTGTATGATTTTTAAAAATTAATTAGATTTTATTTAGAATATATTCTGTTTATTTCTTGTAAAAGCCACAACTCGTCCAAAAATCAAACAAAATGATAATAATAATAATAATAATAATAAATTGAACTTGCATGTGTTTTATATGCTGGAATATGTGGATGGAAGAGGTGGAAACACCTTGACCCTCCTGCAGCTAGAAGCCGACGCGATTACTCACGTGATGACACAATATATAGAAAAAAGACGAAAGCTAGCAGCATGCTAACCCTAATCACCATCTTCACTGATCGAAGAGCATGTATCCAACGACACCAATGCATGGAAGATCAGTACCGTACATATAAAGCTTGAATATATAAGAAGCTGAACGTCGTCAAGCCCATTTATGTCTATCGAGCAAGATGGAAGCACGGCATTTAGGAAGTTGCTTGCCCTGAAAACTTCTCAAGGGTCCCAGATGCCATGTCTCGTGGTTTTCCCTGTCAGCAAGTCCACATGCTCCTGCTTCCCTTTTTTATAATATGGTTCAGCAAGAAATGAAAACTAGCACATATTCTCCTTCTCTTTTTAATCTTTTATTATGATTTCCACGTCGGTCCAAGGAATCATTAGAGAAGAGATATGAAACTTTCAAGAAATTAAGATAAATGATTCACATGCCAAGCTACGAGGACAGGACGCATCCGCACATTATTTGATGATTAAAATTAAAAGGTCGCAAAATATCTCCTAAATAATTACATTATTAGTTTGTTTGTGGTGAACATTACAATTTCTCAACATGTTAATTACCACATGAGAAATACATTTTCATGTTTGATCAAGTACTTTAACTTTATTTTTTTCTTGTGAGTCTAATTGAGATATTTTATTTTTAGAGTTAATTAAATATAAGTATATATATATTTCGTAGAAATCTTGAATTCTTTGACGTCCAAGGTCATTTTTAAGGTCAAAATCCACCTTAAGAACTTGCTTTTAGGCTCTTGATTTTATGATCCACATCTTCAAAAGTATCCCAGATCGATTTTGAATTCTGTAACTTATATGTTATGACAAGCTACTGAAAAATCGCAAGATTCTGCATGCATAAATCCAACAACATTATTTTGTGCATGAAGATTGAATTAGACACAGAACATCAAACCCAATAATGTATATCAAACAAGTTGGAGGCATGTCTTTTAGTGAAGTGGTCTCTGTAGCTTTGTCCTAAAAATTTCTCGCATTCACACATCGATATTCATTTTGTGGTGCGGTGTCTCTCTATACAGTGCTTCAACGGTCCCGGATACCTCTCGGGTTTTTCCAATCAACAGGTCCACATGCTTTTGCTTTCCTTTTTTTTTATTATTATATAGTCCGGCAAATAATGAAAACTAACATATATTCTCCATCCCTTTTTATTCCTTTATTATGATTTTCATGTTGGTCCAAGGAATCATTAGAGAAGAAAAATGAAACTTACAAGAAATTAAGATAAATTAATGACAAGAAGCATCCACACATGGCTTGATTAAAATGGCAATAGAGGTCTCTAAGAGAGAGAGAGAGAGAACGTTTCCATATATTATTAAATAATATTTCTTTTTTAAGTTAACATGTATAACTATTTAATAGAAATTTTTAATTAAACAAAATAAAAGTAATGTTATATAGATGGACAAATTATCATAAATATAAAAATTTAAGATGAGTGTTATAATCAAATTATAAATAATTAAATCTATCTCAGCTCGATAGGATCTTGATAAGGTAATCTAAAAAATTTATAATTAAAGTTTAATTTAATATAAATTTTTAGTTGAATAAATGATATTGATATAATCATATTTATTTTATGAAAGTGAATTTTTAATGGCCTAATTCACTTATCCAAATTTAATCTTAATTTTATTGAATTAATTAATATCTTGTAAAAAAATAAAATATTATTATTTTAATAAAAATAATAATTTTAAATTTATTTAATGATTCATAAGTAAACATTATAACTTAAATTCAATCTAGCAACTATGCTTTAAATTGAAAAAATATAAAAAAAAAATTATGTCTTTTATACAGATGTGTTTGGCATTGCATTTTAAAAATATTTAAAAAAAAATTAAAAATTTTATTTTTTATTTTAAATTAATATTTTTTTATGTTTTTAAATTATTTAATATGATAATATCAAAAATATTTTAAAAAAATATTATTATTACTTTATTTTCAAACACGGAAAGAGGACATTGTACTTGTGCTGAAAATCTCTCACGTCCGCATTGATGCATTATATTTTCTATTGAAAAAGAAAAAGGTCCCAGATACCGCATCCTTTTGCTTTCCTTCAGATTTAAGACAGTTCCTTATTTTAGTAAGTTACAAATCAGTCCCTCGAGTTTTGTATAATAAATTAAAGAATCCTTCTAGTTTCAAAAAATAACTAACTAACCCCTTAATTATTGTTCACTATACTTAATTTAATATATTTTTCAAGAAATACCTTCTTTTCTCATTAAAAATAAATTAAAAAACATGACATGGACAAAAAGGATCAATAAAAATACGGGAAATGCTTAATTATATTTAATATTAAAGGGACTATTTGATTCATTTTGCTAAACTATAAGGACCCACGGAGTTTGAAAAGGTTACAAGATTTCCTAAACATTAATACATTAAAAATAAAAAATAAAACCCACTTTAAGGTTTAGCTTATGAATTTGTGAGTGGACGCATACATCATGTTTGCAATTACTTTCTACTAATTTTAACATTTTAATTAGTTACAGCATAGTTTTTCCTTGCTATCAATTATATAAATAATGAAACCACTAACAAGCTAGGCCCATATGCCTACTAAAATTAAGACAAATGGGCCAGGCTTCTAGTCACTGGATCGCCACGTCAGATCGGGCCAGGAGTTTTTTACGATAGAATTTTAATGATCTCTCAATGAGTATGGGTTGTAGATGGGCGTGTCAAAATGGGCCATAAGAGAATGTGAACAAATACATCTACAGTTTAAATGGGCTGTGTGACCTAACCTTGGGTGGGTAACCAATACAAACCCAAACCACTTATAGACCCATCAAGAAGTCCAATTTGAAACACCTAGGCTACATCTCCCGGTCCCTGCTCCTCTCTCCGACTGGTCTGCTATCACCTTCCAGCCCTGCTTGAGAAAAGAGAAGGTCAGTGCTTCAGTTTTGCTTCTTTGAAATACCTCCTCCTCTTCTTCTTCTCCGTTAAGTTAATATTTTGTCGGGATGTCTTCTTTTGGCTACTATACACTCCTGAATCAGGTTATTTTGGCTGGTTGTAGTGATACTTAAAAATAACACAATGTGTTCGATAAAATGCCTCTGAGAGGGTTTCTGACTACTATACACCCCTGAGTCAGGTCATGTTGGCTGGTTGTAATAATACTTAAAAATAACACGTGTTCGATAAAATGCCTCTGAGAGGGTTTTTTTCCTATATTTAATCTTAATCATGGAAAAGGATGTGATCAGACTACTGATTCTAGATTTTTCATCGCCATGGTTTTTTCTTGATGGGTTTTTAAGATTTGATCGGAATATCATTCCTCCCTTGAGGTTTGCCACTGTTTCATGAGTGGCCCTTCAAGGCTTGCTTGGTTTCTTACTTTGATGAGTAGGTCGTTGTGGTTTTGTTTAAATTCGATCTAACACTTGTAATTCCGTAATAATCTGAGGTAAATCCGCGGTCTTTCTGTCTCAGAGAGCTTCTGGCAGGGTTCTTTTCACTCAGACGTCAAAGATGTTTGGAAATTATGTGAAGAAGCCAGCTCTAGAGCTCGCTGCTCTTAGTCGTCTCCAGTTCTATGTAAGTTACTTTCTCTTCCAGTATTCTTAGTCATCTTCAGTTCTTGATTGTTACCTTTCTTGTTTGGGGGTGGGGTTAATTGGCAGAGAGAGATACATGGTAGAAATAAGAAGGCGATGGAGTTCATTGCGAAAGGATGGAGTGCTTTGAAGGAAGTGGATAGAGTCATTGATTACTGCGAACGCAATGATAAACGTCTTATCCCTCTTCTCAGAGTAGGCCTTTTCTTTTTCTTAAGAAATGCTGGATATCGAAAGTGGTGCAGAATATTAAAAATGCTATTTGGCTTTTGTCATCGTGCTGTTTTTTTATTTATTTTTTGGGTTTGATATTAGACAGCAAAGGAGAATTTTGAGCTGGCTTTGGAGGTTGACAACTCGAATACCCATGCTAGGTATTGGTTGTCCAAATTGCATCTGAAGTACCATGTTCCAGGGCAATGTCATGCTATGTAAGTTCGTTTTATTCTCTCTTTCTTGCTTCAGTGTATGCCTGTTGTCATGGTCAGTAAATTGTTGCACTAGTGTGTCAAGGCAGCTTGAGAGCTGGGATTGGCGAAGTTCTAGATTTGATATGCCACCCAATCATTCTTGTTCAGTCATTTGGATAACATATTAAACCCCTAAACAGGGGCTAGTAAAAAAAATTGATGCTCTTCAGGCTTTTGATTTACTCAATAGTAATCATGACTATACTTATTTGAGCATCCAATATTGTCATGAATATTGCCCTTCCTATTTCCATGTTGACATTTGCATATGTCACTTTGACTCACGGTATGTTTGTGAACCTTTTATGTGCGCACTACTGATGCTTTTTTCTTTCTTTTTTTTTTTTATCATGAAATAGAGGAGTTGCTTTATTAGTGGAAGCTGCAAATATGGGTGATCCAGAAGCACAATATGAATTAGGTTGTCGTCTAAGAGTTGAGGTTAGGCTTCTTGTGTTCCATATTCAAACTAGTGTTTATATACTAGTTCATATGTGAAAATGTTAGCAAAAAATTATCAAGCTTCTATTTTTAACAAAATAGAAGACAATGTTTGAAAACAAAGTATTTGTGGAAATATTTCATATAATGATTCTGGAAAATCATGCTGTAAAAAATTACTTTAATTATGTTGTACATAACAGTAGACTAGTAGACTGCCAAACTAAAGCCGAAATAACTTAGTTTTAATTGCCAAACTGGACCCAATATAATGTTGTTTTAATAGGGCCTTGTGTAGGATCCAATCTTGATATTCATGATTGTCGCACCCTCGCGGTGGAGCAACGACCCTCTCCGGGAGCAAGGATTCCATGTTGGGGTTTTTGTTTTGTTTTTGTGAATAAGGGAGTCGCCATCTAGTATTAGTCACTAGGAAACCTAATTGGTCTTTCATAAGGCAAGAGAATGGTTGCATATAGGGAAGGTTTTAGCACTCCTAATACGCCCTACCTAAGGTAAGCTGATTAGTGTTTGGTTTGCCTTATAATTGTTATGGTGTTGGTGTTTTCTAATTAGTTTTCCGAGGATGTTTAGACTTAAGTTCAAAGTCTAAAAGAAAGAACTCTTGGTTAATGTGGATCACACCTTTTGAAGTGTCTACAAGGTTCCAAGGAGAACCAATGCAGATCTCTTGAAATCTATGTTTGATTCATACTAAAGTTATAACCTATGATTTAAGAGATAGTTAAGATAGAAATCCAAAGAGATTCAATGCGCTTTAAAAACTTGTTTTCCCCTTAGCATTTCAAGTTTTCGCGACTCATAAATCATAAGGAAGAGAAAAAAAAAAGTTAGAAATTTAAGAAAATTCAAGGTGCTTTAAAAGCCATTTTCTTGCCTTAGTATTTCATACTTTCACGGCTTGTAAATTGAGTTAAAATTTAAAATGTCCCCAATTATAATTGAGGCCTTTCAAGGATGTATGATGATTTATTATTTCTAAAAAAATATTTTGGATATTAATCACTAGATGTTTCTTTATTCAAATATTAATAGTGAATAATAACAAATTATTTCCAATAATATTTTAGATATTCATCTTTTAGAGATTTCTTTATTCAAATATTAACGGCGAATAATAGATGAATTCCCCTTCAAAATAATTTTTTTATATTTTTTAGAATATTGACCAACACCTTTTGGAGTTTCACAAACATGTTGTAAAATCCAGAATGCAAGAAAAAAAATTTTTTTTGTTGTGTTTAAGAAATCCATGCGAAAACACATTTTCGAACTTTAAATATTTGTTTTTTTTATTAAAAATATTCAAAACATGTTAGGTATTGGCTATATGCAGCATATAAGAAAAACATTTATATTTTTTTTTAAAGAACAAGTATCACAATTAAAGACAACAAACCATGTATATATTCTCAAAATTTTCAAGGAGAAAAAATAATAATAACACACACACACATACATCCACTTTTACTATGCTCCACTCACACATTATTTTTACATGATACAATTTAGAAATTGCAAAATAAACCTTCAAATATTCAGGAATTGCAAAGGAATACTTGTGGGAAGGCAGGAATAGTGACGGTGCATGGGTTCACGCGTCGCCGCGAGGAAAACGCTAGGAGATTGTGGGATCTAGAATGGCTTCATCCCTTCCTTACCGGCTGTGAGAACCATTGTCACCTGCAAAAGAAAAGAGAGTGTAGGGGAGCTCTAGTGGATGAGGAAGTGGATAGCTTGTTTTGGTTTTTAGGAGTAAAAATCAAAAGCAGGGGGCGACACTGGTTTTTTTTTTCAAAGGGAGGGGGTGACTAAGAGAGGAATATGGGGACAGGTGTGAAGACAGTGAATGAGAATTGCAATCGGGGAGATGGAGGGGAGAGTGTGCTGCTGCTATAGTTCGGAGATTAGCTCTTGGTTTGCTTAGCTAGTAGCAGGGAAAAGAGAGTGCAAGGGAGCTCTGGCTGGTTGAAAGGAAAAGAAAAAAGAAAAAAGATTCCTTGGGCTGCGACTGCTTTTTTTTAAAAAAAAAGGGTGGGCAATCGTTGGCTTAAAAGAGATGGGTTTAGGGTTTCTTAATTGCTAGAATTTTTGTCTTAAAATTACTCCTTTTTTTTGCATATGGCTAGAGGTTCACTTATATAGAAAATCTTTACATGTGTTATTGAAGGAAATATTGCAATAATTATTGCAAAGATTGTCTTCTATAACTAGCCCAAACAAATCAAATCTTATATATATATATATAGTATTTTATATTGCAGTGATTATTTTTCATAATCAGTATAAATCAAATCTTATATCTATGGTATTTTATATTGCAGTAATTATATATGATTCAGTAATTATCTTTTTGACATATTGCTTCCTTAATATTAGCCTTGATGCTCAACGTTATCTCCACATATTCTTCATTTTTTTTACTTGGATAGATCATCCATCATAATAAGGTCATTCTTTCCCCTAGATAGGTCACCCATCACAATGAAATCGTTATTTTTTCCGGGTAGACTATCCATTAAAATGAGACCAATTTTTTTTTTTTTTTACCTGGGTAGGTCACCCATCACAATGAGATCATTCTTCCCCCTTGGTAGGTCACCCTTCACAATAAGATCATCTTGCACTTGGGTAAGTCACCCGTCATAATGAGATCATCTTTCATTTTAGATAGGTCACCCGTCATAACGAGATCGCACATATTTTTGTATTGGTTCTGGTTAAAGGAGATCGTCAAATGGGATCTCAAGTTAACCTAACCACACAAATTTTAGCTGTGGTTAAATGGAATCACCAGATGGGATTTCAAGTTGCCGTTGTGGTTAAAGGGAATCACCAGATGGGATTTCAAGTTGCCCGAGCTACACACCGACTTTGTTTCGGGTTAAAAGAGATCGTCAGATGGGATTTTAAGTTAACCCAATTGAAAGAGTAAGTCGTCCGTGAAAATAGACCAGGTTGAGTATGTGTGGGTAAGTCACCAATGAACATAGATCAATTTTCTTTAAAAAAGGACAGATCACTCATAATAATGAGATCATTTTTTAAAAAGTCCTTAGATGAGTGGATCACTCGGCAAGCAAGAAAGACTTTTTTTCTTTACAAGCTTACCATGCAAAATATTGAGTTTTGCTTCCTAAGCATTGTAAAAAGGAGACATTTGTTACTATCCAATTTTTGACCCATTTTTTGATAAATTTTCAATAAAAAAATGGGAATATGTGGCGATAACATAAAGCATCAAGGCTAATATTAATGAAGCAACATATCAATGAGATAATTATTAAATCATATATAATTACTGCAATATAAAATAACATAGATATAGAATTTGATTCGTGTTAGTTATGGAAAATAATAATTGCAATATAAAATACCATATATATAGGATCTGTTTGTGCTGGTTATAGAAGACAATGTCTGCAATATTTTCTTGAATAGCACGTGTAGAGATTTTCTATATAAGTGAACCTCCAGTCATATGTAAAAGAGAGGGGTCATTTTAAGACAAAAAAATTATGACAATCATGAAACCCTAAACTCATCTCTTTTAAGTCAGTCGGCTGCCCACCCTTCTTTGACAAAAAAAAAGCAGCCACCACCCAAGGAAGCCCTTTTCCTTCTCCTTTCAACCGGCCAGAGCTCCCCTGCATTTTTTTTCCCTGCCGCCAGCCCAACAGACCAAGAGTTAACCACAACAGTCGCACACTCTCCCCTCCATCTTCCCAATTGCAACTACCTTTCATTGTCTTCACACCTGTCCTCATCTTCCTCTCCTAGCCACCCCCTCCTTTTGAAAAGAAAAAATCAGAGTTGCCCTCTACTTTTGATTTTTGCTCCTAAAAACCAGCACAAGTTGTCGCTTCCTCATCCGCCAGAGCTGCCCGCTTTCTTTACCCAGCAACGACGGCCCGCTTCCCATGCAGCTGCACCTCCTTTCCCGATAAGCACTAGCAGAGCCACCGGTCTCCTTAACAATAGCGACCAAAACTGTAGCCCGAAAGCCACTACCTTCGGACCTAATAGCTAGATCTGCCACCATGGATTAACCCTCGTTCACAGTAGATCACGACCACCAAAGTAAAGGGTTTCCTTTACAACAGAACCGTCAATAAAAGAGAAGAAAAGGGGAACCAAGAACACATCTAAAAATGAAAAAATAAAATGAATCGACTAGCTTGTGTTGCTTTTCTTTTACAGGTGATAGTGGTATTCACAACCGGTGGGGAAGGGATGAAGCCGTTTCAAATCCCACAATCTCACTGTGTTTTCCTCCGACGGCAAGTTCCACGCGTCATCACTGTTCCTGCCTTCTCAGGAGTATTCCTCTGCAATTCCTAAATATTTCGGGATCTATTTTGCAATTTCTAAATTATATCATGTAAAAATGATGTGAGTGAAGCATAGTAAAAGCGGGTGTATGTGTGTATTATTATTTTATTTTCTCCTTGAAAATTTTGAGAATATATGTACACGGTTTGTTCTTTAACTGTGATACTTATTCTTTTTAAAAAAATATAAATATTTTTCTTGTATGTTGCATGCGGCCAATACCTTAACATATTTTGAATGATTTTTTATAAAAACAAATATTTAAAGTTTGAAAATGTGTTTTTGCATGGATTTGTTAAACACAATAAAAAAAAATTATTTTCTTGCATTCTAGATTTTACATGTTTGCAAAACTTCAAAAGGTGTTGTCTAATATTCTAAAAAATATAAAAATCTTATTTTGAGAGGAATTCATCTATTATTCACCATTAATGTTTGGATAAATAAATCCTCAAATGATGAATATTCAAAATATTATTAAGAATAATTTGTTATTATTCACTGTTAATATTTGGATAAAGAAACCCCTAGTAGTTAATATCCAAAATATTTTTATAAAAATAATAAGTCATTATATATCCTTGAAAAAAGCCTCAATTATAATTGGGAACATTTCAAATTTTGACTCCATGGTTTACAAGCCGTAAAAGTATGAAATACTAAGGCAACAAAAGAACTTTTAAATCACCTTGAATTTCCTTAGATTTCTAACTTAGTTTTTTTGTCTCTTCCTTGTGATTTACGAGTTTCGAACACTTGAGATGCTAAGGGAAAAACGAGTTTTTAAAGCACATTGAATCTCCTTGGATTTCTATCTTAACTATCCCTTAAATCATAGATGATAAATTTAGTATGAATCAAACATAGATTTCAAGAGATCTGCATTGGTTCTCCTTGGTACTTTGTAGACACTTCTAAAGGTGTGATCCACATTGACTAAGGGTTTTTTGTTTTGGATTTTGAACTCAAGTCCATTTATCATTGCAAAACTAATTAGAAAACACTAATACTATAGCAATCATAAAGCAAACCAAACACCAATCAGCTCATCTTAGGTGGGGCGTACTGCGGGTGTTAGAACCTTTGCATTATGCAACCAGTCCCTTCCCTTACAATCTCTAAAATATCAGTTAGATTTTCTAGTGACCATAATACTAAATGGCGACTCTTATTCACAAAAACCCCTATATGGAATCCCCACTCCCGAGGAGGGTCGCCGTGCTCCGCTGCAAGGGTGTGACAGGATGGGGGCTCTGGGACTAGACTTGATAATTTATTTATTTATGCTATGTATTGCTGGTTTTTGTTTTTTATATGAATGGTTTACTTTGTTCAAAAGCTTTAGCATGCATCTTTACATGGTATATTGGATATGGATAAGATTATATTGCATCCTGTCATGCATCACCTTTATTTTTATTATCTTTTTAAGAGCACGCGCATTAAATTTTAAGTTAAGTGGAGAACTAAGAGTTTGCCTTGTGACTTGAGTTAAGGTTTAAGCTTATATAAACCAGCGAAGTGTTTAGACTGATAATGATTGATACATACGTTATCCTACTATCTACCGAGCCCCCATATTGCATTTACGAGGGTGATCATTGGAATAGTAAAGGACCCTCTTTAGAGACCAAATACTGAAGTTACCTTATGTCTCATATAAAAGAACTAGAACCTATCCTTAAGGTATATACTTTATAATATCTTTTGCATAAAAATAAAAACCCCAACGTGGACTCCCCGCTCTCGGGGAGGGTTGCCGCGCTCTATGCAAGGGTGCGACAATAATAAATGTCTATCCTACCTTTGTTTCATTCCCTGCTCTTAAAACTTCTTGAATGGTAAACTAACTTGAATTCATATTTATGAGGTCTGAGGCTTGATAGCTTAAATGTTTGAGATTAATGTTTTTAGTCCTTGTGAGCTTGGGGTATGTATATCTTGATAGCTTAAGCTTTCAGGATTGGGGCTTCTTATCAACTAAGATAGTATTGACCAAGCTGTGTGAAATTTCGTTTACTAGAAATCATCAATAGCTTGACAACAAGTTCTAAAGTAGTATCCACCCTGCCCTTGATTGTGAGAATTTTCTTTTTCAATTGTTTCCTGGTGGATCTGTTAGTTCTGATTGTTTTGTAACGTTCCTTTTGTAATATTATGTCATATCTTTTTTGGATAGAATGATTATGTCCAATCAGATCAACAAGCTTTCTATTATATAGAGAAGGCAGTTGAAAAGGTATGTTTCTTTTTTGGCTTAGAATGATTGTTTATTGTGTTTCTATAAAGGGTCTCGAGATCTTACTTGAGCCAGCTCCATTGTAGTTGCATCCTGGTGCTCTTTACCTTCTTGGTGCTGTATACTTGACGGGGGATTGTGTGAAGAAAGATATCGCCTCAGCATTGTGGTGTTTCCATAGGGCATCGGAGAAGGTAATAAACAGAGTTTTTTATACTGACTAGATTGCATCCATCAATTCTTTCTCTCTCTACCTATCTATTATTTCCTTGGGGGAGCGGGGGGTGTTGATGGGGGTGCATTTGCTTTCTAAACTTGATTGACATTCTCCATGTTTAAAGTCAACTGGTAGACTTTTGCTTATGCAAGTTAAAGTGATGGCAATTGGCTTTTTGTGGTACATCGTCAGTAGTTATCAAGATACATGAGATAAATTTGACAATCAGGTTCTATGCTGAAAAACAATAAAAAAGATATCAGGTTGCCCCTTCTGCCATCTAATGCGTCTGGAAATAGAAACTCTGTAATTTGAGGGCCCTTGTGCGTAGAGTTTAGCTCCGTATTTGCAACTGTAAGACTTGTGATTGCAGAGTACCTGTAATGTTGTAATGAAAAAATAGTTTCTTTCATTGCTGATAATGAAATTGGGAAGGCATAAGTTCTGAATTGCGCTAGAATATTATCAGTTAAACTGCTCTGTATGACCTTTCTTAACTGATATTATTTTATGCAGGGACATGTTGGTGCTGCTGTAGCATATGGATCTCTCCTCCTTAGAGGTAAGCTGTTCCGGCTCCCTTTCTTTTCCTTCTTTCCCCCCTGCTGTTCATTGAAATTCATTGGGATGACTCAGTTTTTCAGTGATGTCTTTGTGTTGCTTTTCATGTACATTGCATGATTAACATCCAATGTTTTGATGAAGGGCATTTAGTTAAAATTGAGTTTTAACTAAATGACCTCTTATTGATATCATGGTGCACAACCTGCCATCATTACGGTTGATAGAGATTACTTCTTGCAATTCCGTAGGTTCTATGAACTTTGTCTAGGGATATGATTTAGATTAAAGTTCTTTTCATCTTAAAGATTATACAAATCATTTATCTTGTCTTTTCCTTGTGCAAAATGAAAAGCACAAGCTATTAATTGTGATATCGGGTTTCCTCTTGGTCCAGGTGCTCAGGTTCCAGAACATCTAACAAAATACAGTTTGAAGAGGGGTTCATCTGCCAAAAAAATGAACAGCGCTGAAAATACTGAGATGAATCCCGTAGAGAGAGCAAAGGTACAGTTCCAGATTGCAGCAAAAGCAGGATCTGATCTTGGATTAAAGTGGCTGCAAAGACTTGAAGAGGAAGAGAATCGTCTACTTGCGGAGAGTCATTCTAAGGAACCATCCTCCCAAAACTAAGTTGGCATATCTAATAACAGGATGTGTTCCTGGGTCAAAATGGCTGCAAAAGCTTTAGGAGGAAGAGAAACGTCAACTTACTGAAAAATGATCTCCCGAAGCCAAAATGGTGCGACTATATATAGTAAGTACTATGCTAGCTCCACCATGCTTCATGCTAGAGCTTAAGCACCAGCTGTTGAAAGTCAATGTCGTAATGGTAATTTAACAGGTGAGAACTGCTTTAGACAATCTTATGTTTAGGATACTGTGAAATGTTAAGGGTCATGCCGCTAACAAATGTAAGTTGCGAGAACTGCTTTAGACAATCTTATGTTTTCTCCTAAACAAGTTTAGGATACTGTGAAATGTTAAGAAGGGTCATGCCGCTAACAAATGTAAGTTTTCATTTCTGTGGATTATACGGATTATGCTTTTCATGTAAGCAGAACACATGAAGCATCGTGCTAAATAATATTAGTTAAAAACCATTGAATATGAATGCTGTAAGGGACGTTGTGAACATGATATTCCTTGGTAAAGGAAGCTTCAGATGATGCTTTAGTATTGGTTAGAATCATGTTGGGTGGCTTATCCTGTTATTGTTTCAGTATTGGTTAACAACTTCGGGAGAAAATTGAAAATAAAATTATGGATGAGGGTAAAAACAAAATAACCTGACTTTCTTGAAGTGTATCAGTGGAGAAGCTAAATGAATAACTAAAAATAAAAAATTAATATTTTGGTTTTTTTTTTTTCTTGTTTTCCATACTTCTAAAAGGAAAGTCAAATAAAATGTTAAATGTTTTTCTTTTCTACAAATCTTATTTTTACATATCTCTTCAAGGAGCTAAAAACTAACAAAGTGGAATTAATAAAAAAAATAAACCAATTAAATCTAGCTATATGGAAATAAAATATCAAAATTATTAAAAAAATAAAATATTTGGATTAATAAAAAAAATAAATCAATTAAATCTAGCTATATGGAAAAAAAATATCAAAATCATTAAAAAAAATAAAATATTTATTTATTTCACTTTAATAGAATTAATTTTTCAAATGGTTTCTTTTTATTGGAATATATATGGTAAAAAAAGTTATATTTATACTATTTAAAATATTATTTTATTAATTTGACTCTTTAAAATAACATTTTTAATTGGAAATGCTTTTAGTGCCTGTGCCATGTTATATCTTAGTGTAAATAACATTTTAACTCTTGTAGTTTTCAAAATGGTACAAATGGGTTCTTGAAGTAAAAAAAGTTCTCCGTCCATCTGAACCTTGAAACTTTTGCAATTTCACACAAGGTTTTCAACAAGTATCAATAAACTTTTAAAAAAATATAATTTAGCGAGTTCAATTTCGAAATTTCCTTTGTAAAAGAGTTGCAATTCTTTCTATAATTCCATATTACCACAAATTCTGGTTTTTTCTTTAATATTTCACAACCACAAATTTTAGCACATTCATCATTAATTTAGTTCTTGTTGTGTTTAATTAATAGGTAATACTTTATCATTAAAAAATTCAATCTTCATGCAGCAATTGAAGCTTGAAATATTAATGGAGGAAAGAAGAATTATTTACAAAAATATGACTTAAAATTAAATTAACAGAACTCCCTAGAAACAGTATTGGAATATTCCATTATTTTCAAAATCATTTCCAGACTTTATGAGCATAGCCGAATTAGGTATTTGCATGCATCCTAGAGGGATCGCAATAATGCAGATGAAGCAGTATGATAAGATTTATACGAAAAAAGCAGAGGCACAAATGGTAGACTCTTTACTAGCATTATATTTAGTACATGTCCCTGTTTTGGGGATCTTAAAACAAACACAACGCAGTTACAAATGCTAGGATATATAGTATCATAAGATTTACAGATAATTGTACCAGGGATTGCGTTTTGCCGATCCCTTTACACTGAGTGTGAAGTAATACGCTTTCGGTTTTTGTGAGGTGCAGTTTTGATTCAAGACAGTTAAGACATTTTGCAGCATGGATCCTCTCGCTTCATGAGCAATTTGTGCCGTAACTCGCAAGTCCTAGCAACTCCGGACCTTCCAGTCGAGGATTGTTCTCAAAGCTGCAAGAGAATTTAGGATTGCTTAGTTTCCCAAACGAGAACTGCAAATTTTTTTTATACATGCTTTTCCACTTGTTCGCATATATTACAAGTACGGAGTTCTGATAGATATGACACATTTAGGTCAGAGCCCTCCATCTTATGACTGATGTGCTCGCACAGATCCAGGCAGAATATAGGACATGAGAGAGAATCATGTTTATCTTGCTTCCGGGTACCATACAATTTGCAAAACACAAACCTTCAAGCCACTGGTTTGAAGAGATGCGCTTTAAAAGCTCAAACATGAATTTCACTGTAACATAAGCTTCAAAAGCATCATTAACGCAATGTGGCTGTCATGGTAATCTAAATAAACAAGAGCTGGTCGATGTGGTTTTAAATGCTCCAGCACCCTGACACTGGGAAAAAACTTTCGGGAGTTGGATTTGAAGATCTGAACTTTGGAAGAGAATTTGCATGCACAAAGGGTATCTAGGAGAATTTTGAAGGAATGGTGCAGAAGTTTCCATATAGCTGACCCCAATTAGTTTGGGATTGAGGCTTAGTTCTTATTGTGTTGTCTTGCGAAGATCATGCACTGTCTTTATAAGATCTAAACTCCAAGGAGAAGTTGGGGAATGAAAGAACCTAGCATCACACTATGGTCCATAGGTAACCACATTGGGACCCTCCCGAGAGTATGAGATACCAAACCAGGGAAACACAGCTTTCTGCTAAATCAAACTCTTGATTAATTTGGTAAAAAAAAAAAGGTGCCTAAGCATGAAACAAAAGAAAATGCAAGTCAATATTCATGAAGGAAACCAGGAGTGGGAGGGAGGGAGAGAATTTACTTATATAGAAAAGGGCAATCATGGACAAATAAGAAATCAAGACAGCGTAAATAAAAGTAAGAGAACCTACTTGTTCAAAGGGATGTGCGTAAATAAAAGTAAGAGAACCTACTTGTTCAAAGGGATGTGCGTAAATAAAAGTAAGAGAACCTACTTGTTCAAAGGGATGTGCGTAAATAAAAGTAAGAGAACCTACTTGTTCAAAGGGATGTGCGTAAATAAAAGTAAGAGAACCTACTTGTTCAAAGGGATGTGTTCAAAAGGTCCATTAGTAGGAATTGTTCCACATAAATCATTGCTCGAGACATCCCTGGAGATACAGGAAAGATGATGAACTGCTTTAAGCTTCTGACCATTTAACCTAACTATCAAAGCAAATAAACATGCATATTCATGAAATAGTTTCAGGAATAATCTAGGAATAAGTCAGCAATTATCTAGAAGAGATATTTTATGGATGGATTTTGTTAAAGATGAGGAAGCCACAAGGCTCTGTCACCTTCTGTTTTAACTATGTTCCACTACAGTGAGGCCTTTAACGTTCATCTTTTTTTGCTCTGTGCTGCTCAGAGCATGTGCCCCGTGTTTTTTCCCCTACAAGTTGACAGTGAATCATGGGCAGTCCTGATATTGATTTCTTTTGAGGATTTTGTAAGTAGAAAGAGTTGAATATGGCAATTCTTTTCAGTAAATGGGTGTGATTGCACGAGGGAATAAATGTACAGAATGCTTTCCGGGTTATTTCCATAGCTGATGATCAGAGTACATCTTTTTTTCATACTAAGAAAACCTTCTTTTATCCAAAAAAAAAAAACGGATGATTGTCCTTACACAACTTTGAGGCTTGAAACAGTGGCGAGATCCCTGGGGATGGGTCCAGTTAATCGGTTATCATTAAGTCGTCTGCCATACAAAAAAGACAATCAGAGAAATGAGAGACCATTTATCTTGCAATTCCACATAAACAGAGCAAGCATACATGCCGAAACCTATACATACATGCATAAAGAGAGAGGAAGAGAGGGAGAGATAATAGTTTTCAGGACAAACTAATAAATTTGGAAGCAAATGTACCAAACTTTCAAACCAAAAGGGACAAGGAGAAAAGGAAAATCCTTTAAGCATTTAATCATACATCATAGGAGAGCTTCTTGTACTCACAAAAAGACAAGGGACTTCAACTTCCCCAGTGAAGGAGGAATGGTCCCTGAAATGTTGTTGTTGTACAAGTCCAAGCTAACAAGGCTCTTCAAGTTACCTAGCTCAGTGGGGATAATTCCTTGAATGTTGTTTTTATAAAGCTCCCTACACCAGAAAAGATGAGAGAGGTCACAAGTAAGTAAGCGAAACCCAAACATTAGATACAAGTGACTCTGCATCCCTGAATAATACCCCCATATGGACACAACAAAGGCAATTGATTCAAAATTAAAGACAAGCCAGAATTAGAAACTATTCCAATAACTTTGCAATGCTATCATGGAGAAGATAAAAGGCAGGAAAACATACAGATATTGCAAATGCTCTAGTCTTCCAAGTTCAGGTACTAGATGTCCAGATAGATTTGAGTTCCCCAAGTCCCTGTAGCAGCATGAGATATGAGAAAACAAAAAACATTACACAATAATTCTAAACACATGTTGAAAGAATTAATAAGCACGAGGAAAAAAAGACCATAGTTGATGCTAATTAAGGCCCAAACATACAAACTCTATGTTGGGGAACAGTCATTTTCCAAAAGATACTGAAAAGCTAAAGAATAGAATATGTCAAAGGCTGCAAATCAAAATACATAGCATACTAATCAGAATTTGATATATGACAGCATATGACAGGATAGAGCAATGTGTTTTTCCATAACAAAGATGATATTATATAGGCACTGAGATCATTTTTAATGGAACTGTAACCATTAAAAGATAGTTGCTGCTTTTTTCACCAAACTACTAAAGCGTTAAATGTTTCCTGTTTTTTTATGAAGGAAACTATCAATAGGTCAATTAATGTTAAACAGCAGGAATGGTAAGATTATTGCCATTCTCAAACAATAGAAAAGGACAAGAAGCTGATCGACTAAGAAATTAAAAATATCAGAAGGTAAAATTAATAGTCTAACATGACAAGCTCGAGACATGTGCAATATGCAGCATAGAAGCCAGAAACTGTCATCATTTTTGACTGCTTAAGTAAGTTCATAAAAAAAT